TGAACAAATCAAAAGAAAAAGAGCCCTGAAATGATTATTTTGATAACCTTGTCTAATTTCATAGATGTTTATGAAAAGGGTGTTCTGACTTCTTCACATAGCCACAGCTGAAACTGCCTTTCCAGGACTAATTTTTAAGGGAAAGAAAATGCTGTTGAGCCTCCTCTCAGCATACCTACTCACAGAATTTACTTGAAATTATATTTAAAGTAATTTTTGGAACATCTGGATCCATATGGCAGATTAAAGCTACATGTTTATTCTCTGCTGTCTCCACAATGTCACCAAAATAACAGTAACAAAATTTTAAAAAACCCACTATGAGTTTAATTAGATCCCATTTGTCCATTTTGGCTTTGCTGCCATTGCTTTTGGTGTTTTAGTCATGAAGTCCTTGCCTATGCCTGTGTCCTGAATGGTATTGCCTAGGTTTTCTTCTAGGGTTTTTATGGTGTTAGGTCTTATGTTTAAATCTTTAATACATCTGGAGTTAATTTTTGTATAAGGTGTAAGGAACGAATTCAATTTCAGCTTTCTGCATATGGTTAGCCAGTTTTCCCAACACCATTTATTAAATAGGGAATCCTTTCCCCATTGCTTGTTTTTCTCAGGTTTGTCAAATATCAGATGGTTACAGATGTGTGGCATTACTTCTGAGGCCTCTGTTCTTTTCCATTGGTCTGTATCTCTGTTTTGATAACAGTACCATGCTGTGTTGATTATTGTAGCCTTGTAGTATAGTTTGAAGTCAGGTAGCATGATTCCTCCAGCTTGGTTGTTGTTGTTTTTTTTTTTTTTTTTTTCCTTAGGATTTTCTTGACTATGCAGGCTCTCTTTTGGTTCCATATGAAGTGTAAGGTGTTTTTATTCCAATTCTGTGAAGAAAGTTAATGGTAGTTTGATAGGGATAGCATTGAATCTATAAATTACTTTGGGCAGTATGGCCATTTTAATATTCATTCTTCCTAACAATGAGCATGGAATGATTTCCATCTGTTTGTGTCCTCTCATATTTCCTTGAGCAGTGATTTGTAGTTCTCCTTGAAGAGGTCCTTCACATCCCTTGTTAGTTGTATTCCTAGGTATTTTATTCTATTTGTAGCAATTTTAAATGGGAATTCACTCATGATTTGGCTCTTTGTCTGTTATTGACGTATAGGAATGCTTGCAATTTTTGCACATTGAGAGTGAAGCAGCAACCAACAGAATGGGAAAAAATTTTTGCAATCTACCCATCTGACAAAGGGCTAATAACCAGACTTTATAAAGAACTTAGACAAATTTATAAGAAAATAAAATCAAAAAGTGGGTGAAGGATATGGACAGACACTTTTCAAAAGAAGACATTTGTGAAGCCAACAAACATCTGAAAAAAAGCTTATCATCACTGGTTATTAGAGAAATGCAAATCAAAACCACATTGAGATACCATCTCACACCAGTAAGAATGGCGGTCAGTAAAAAATAAGGAGACAACAGATGCTGGAGAGGATGTGGAGAAATAGGAACACTTTTACACTGTTGGTGGGAGTGTAAATTAGTTCAACCATTGTGGAAGACAGTGTGGCAATTCCTCAGGGATCTAGAAGTAGAAATAACATTTGACCCAGCAATCCCATTATTGGGTATATACCCAAAGGACTATAAAACATTCTATTATAAAGACACATGCATATGTATGTTTATTGTGGCACTGTTTACAATAGCAAAGACTTGAAACCAACCCAAATGCCCATCCAAGATAGATTGGATAAGGAAAATGTAGCACATATACACCATGGAATACTATGCAGTCGTAAAAAAGGATGAGTTCATGTCCTTTGCAGGGACATGGATGAAGCTGGGAACCATCATTCTCAGCAAACTTACACAAGAACAGAAAACCAAACACCGCATGTTCTCACTCATAAGTGGGTGTTAAACAATGAGAACACATGGACACAGAGAGGGGAGCATCACACACTGGGGTCCATTGAGGGTTGGGGGGATTAGGGAAGGATAATAGTAGGTGGAGGAATTGGGGAGGGATATCATTAGGAGAAATACCTAATGTAGATGACGGGGGGATGGATGCAGCCAGCCACCAAGGTGCATGTATACCTGTGTAACAACCCTGTGCTTGATATACGTGCATCCCAAAACCTAAAGTATAAAGAAAAAAATAAAAAGTAAACCCATAATGACCATAAGGAAACAAGAGAAGCAACCAAAAAGTGTTTTGGAAGCTAGCAAAAGTATTAGACAAATGATCACTATCTTAACAGAACAGAGAAATGTGAAAACTATCTATCATTGGTAACAACAGAAAAATGTAAGTTGGCAAAACACCAGAAATTCAGAGGTCTCAGGAATTTAAGATACCATATACTGTGTTTTGAATGTTGACAAAATTAGGCTGAAAAGGAACATTGGGAAAATAGTTAAAATGAGGAATTATGGCTATTGATTTCCAAACCTATTATGTGCTGCTAGGAGGCAACACCTGGTGTATCTGAGTAGAGGACTGAATTTTAACCCATAAACATCTAGGGATCAGCAGCGATAGCTGAGGTGATAGTGAGCTACAGAAGAGTGAGAGAAAGAACAGTGAGACACTTGAATCCCTTTCTTAATCAGAATGCTACTAGCAATATACACATCCCCTTAAACAAGGGAGTGGAGTATGCTAAATAAATCTTAAAGTTCAAAAAACAGAGATGCAGATAATGAGAATGAGAGGCTCCCACAAATTAGGCAGTCGTTATCTCTTTGCCCTGTAATACAGTAGATATTGTCATTAGTCAACTCCACTTGCATATACCGAACTTCCAGATATCAATTTAGTGGCTCTTAATTATGAATGGGTCAGTGTAGGATATTCAGACATTTGATTAAACTCAGTAACAAGAAATACATAAATTAAATCAAACAAACAGAAGTAAAAGGAATTTCGACTAAATAGTGGCAATCCAAGAAAAAAAGAGGTTCTTAAAAAACTGTAATTGATAGATTTAGAGAGCTAAGAAAATAAAAATAAAACAAAAACTATAAAGGAGGAAAAATTAGCAAGACTGACATATAATAGGTGCTCAATAAATATTTGTTGAATGAATTGAATTTTTATGATTATAAAGGATGTGTGTATTTATAAATAATTTATAATGGTTTGATATAAAACACATATTCAGCAAAAGAGTTGAAAGGCATGAGTAGAGAAATATTCCAGACATTAGAAGATTAATCCAAAAGATCCAGTATATCCTTGAGAAATGATGTTGAGAGACAGAGATGGGGACAGAGAGGTACAGGTAAGGACATTATCAGGAGCCAACTCAAGAAAATTTATAATACTGACAGAAAATTATTTCCAGACTTAAAGAGCCTACAGATAGCCAATACAGTAAATGCAAAAACATCCACATTAATGCCATGTCATTGAAATTTCAGAAAATCTAGTATTTTTAAAACTCTTAAAAACTTCTAAAGAGAGGAAAAAACACTTTCTGTAGAAAGTGTAGAAAATGTGAACAACACCAAATTTCTCATCAGAAACACTAAACGCTAAAATAAAATAGAACCGTATCTTTATACTTCAGGATAAAAATTATTTTCATACTGGGATCCTATACCCAGCCAAAACATCACATAATTAGAAGGTACAATTACTATATTTTTAAACCTGCAACGTTTCAAAAATTTATCCATAGTCCGCTCTCTTTCGAGAAACTACCAGAGGACATACTAAATTAAAATGAGAATGAAACTGAGAATGAAAAGAAGATTGCAGATATCACAAAAGAAGTTGTATAATAATAGCAATTCCTAGACAATAGTGAAGGTAAGTCTCAGGATAACAGCTGGGCAACAAGGCTTCCAATCTTAATGGAGCAATAAGTTTGAGGGTTCCTGAAGAGATTTCTAAGAAAAGTAATGGAAACTAATCAACACTTTACATTTCTGCAAAAGTGACACATATCAAAGAATTGGTAGTTATGATGGGTTTGGTACATAGACAGCTATGCAAAAGAAAACAGCACAATTATTAAACCTAGGGAAAACAAAATTAGCACAAGAAATATAGTGTAATCATGATGTACTATATGCCTCTGCTGTGAATAATTGTTACAGAGCCATTATAATAATATAAACATAAAATACCGGATTAAGACGATAATATTAAGTTACTATGACTAAAAGAGGAAAATGTTTGTGGAAGATGCAGACCTAGGAATGAGAGAGACGTCTCCATCTTCCATATTTAGAAGTCAGTGTGTATCTAAACTGAAAGAAATAAAAACCAAAGTTCAGTTTGTTACTTAAAAATACAAAGGAGATAAATTAAGAAGCACTGACATAATTACGACTGTATTCTTATAGGAGTGAGAATCAGGAGTGGAGAGCAAACAGTGAGAAACTTCTGATTTTGCCAAATAAGCCTGTTAAAACCATTTGACTTTTTTTTTGTTTTTTAAATCAGCTTTCCAGGTTGCATATTTGATTTTTTTCTTTTCTTTTTTTTCTTTTCTTTCTTTCTTTTTTTTTTTTTTTTTTTTTTTTTTTTTTTTGAGACTCTGGGCAGCAGACTCTCACTGTGTTGCCCAGGCTGGAGTGCGGTAGTGCAATCTCCACTCACTGCAACCTCCGCCTCGTGGGTTCAAACAATTCTCCTGCCTCAGCCTCCCCTGTGGCACTGTAGGCACATGCCACCATGCCAGGCTAATTTTTGTATTTTCAGTAGAGACAAGATTTCACCATGTTGGCCAGAATGGTCTTGAACTCCTGACTTCAAGCAGTCTACCTGCCTCAGCCTCCCAAAGTGTTGGGACTATAGATGTGAGCCACCACGCCCAGCCTTGATTTTTTTTTAATGTGGTTTTATAAATATGAACTTTGAAGTGTAACAACAACAAAAAAATTGTGGTGTGTTTGCATGTTACTTTCTAAATTTATTATTTTAAAAGCCATTCTAATTTTCATTTTTTACAAACTGTATAAAGTTAAATTAACTCACAAGAGAGATCTTTAATCTACTAAGTACTTAAGTGAATGGACAAAGCTGAAGACACGTCCAAAATTGAGTTATATCAATTTGTCAGGAAATCCCCTCTGGAGATGAGGTTGTCATTGTTTTGCTATCCTGTTTTAACTAGTAAAATGCTTCTGCCTTAGGATATGCTTTTTTTAATATCCTGGAATGTATTTTCCTTCCAGGAAAATATCATGAAGCTGGATGCATAATTAAAATGCGCAAGAACAGATGTTGCTGGGGGTCTGTTAGGAACTGAGAAAACGTTTCGGTGTGTCATTTCTTCCAGTAACTGTGGAGGAATAGCACAGGAATGGTGTGTTAGTTTCTTAGGGCTGCCATAACAAATTACCCCAAACTTGGTGCCTTAATGCAACAGACCTTTATTACCTCATACTTCTCAAGGCCACAAGTACAAAATCGAGGTGTATGTAGTAGAGAACTCTACTCTACAGGCTGTAGGGAAGAAGCCCTCCTTGCCTTTAACAGTTTATGGTGGCTGCAAGCCCATTCTTCAATTTGCTGTTGCATAACTCTAATTTCTGCCTCAGTCTTCAAATGGCCTTCTCCTTTCATCTCTGTCTCCGTCTTTTGGGTGCCTCTTCTAAAAATCCTTGTCGTTGAATTTAGGGCCCACTCAAATAATCTAAGATGATCTCATCTTGAGACTCACTTAATTATGTTTGCAAAGGCCATTTTGTCACATAAGTTCACATTCACAGTTTCCAGGTTAGATGTGTGTGTATATAGGTTTTTTGGGGGGGCCACAATTCAATTCACAAAAAAAGGTAGAAAAATAACAAGCAGCAAATATCACTTGTTATTTACTTTAATGACATATCATATTTGGACAAATACAAAGCTAAGGCTGGAATTCCAATATCTTGGGAAATGAAAGATGAAAGCAGTCAGAAAAAAAAGTGGAATTATGAAGACAATTTTATAAACTAGCCACTAATTCTTTTCTTTTTAGATTTACCATTAACCTCTTCCAATTTTATGCCATCTGTAAACTTGATTGGCTTGTTGTCTATTTTAAAACAATGTTTTAAGACAAAAACAGTGTTGACTTATTGTTCTCAGTGACTTCATTTTCTGAATAAACAAGACTGAACTCGTTAAAATGTCGGTAGAAATATTTATTGGGAGCTCTATTTTTTTGCACACTAGAGATAATATACTTAACATATTTAACCACTTTTATGTATTCAGTCATCTTTCCCATTTTAAAATTAAGTAATGTTTTATATATATATATAAAAAATATAAATAAAATATGTGATGAGTTCTCTGTAGCGATTTAAATTTTGATGTAATATTTTATATATTATATAGAAATATATTTATATGCCTTACTGAGTAAAAAAGGAAGGAGACAGGATATGCCAAGAAAAATTTTAAGGACTATTACTTGTTTGAAATGATTACCAGTTAATTTCTATATATAAATGCAATGATTCCATCCTCATTGTGTGCCAGGGCATGTTTGAAAAGAAACAAATAAGTGAAATAGACTTAGAGTAGTCTAAACAATTTAAAGAGTATCAATTTTCTTAGAATCATAGCATTTAGAAAGAACATTAAATGTCAAGTCCAAACTCACTTTACATGTCTTGTGGCAGTTGACATTGCATGGTTTGCTCTATGTCACGTATCTAGAGAACAGATGTAAAGTTTGAGATTCCTAACATCATTCTATTTTCACTATTTTTCTATCGCTGTTAACCTGACAAATGCATCCACTTTGGACCTTTTAAGTGTTTGTGAAAATTAATGCATCCTCAATGCTTGAGAATACTCATCTTTATGGAAACCAAATAGTATTTTAAAAGCAGGATTTGGGGCAATAATTTGTATTTGATTTTTTTTTGCTCACTTTTTCAATGGATGACCTTACTCAAACTGCTTTACTTTTTTGAGCCTCAGCTACTTTGTTTGCAAAACAAAAGGACTACTGTCTAATCCACAGGACTCGACTAAATAAGATGAACTCAAGTTGAGACTAGCTCTCAGCCTGCACATAATGACTATTCAATCAGTGCCAGTTTCCTTCCCTATACTGCTTACGAAAAGATCAGTCAGTTTCACTATATGCTTTGTTGTGATGGACTCAATTGTCCCTCCCAGAATTTCAAATTCTGTGTTGAAACTCTGATCCCCAATTCCTCAGAGAAAACTTCTGCTGTTTAAGCCTGGGATCCCCAACCCCCATGCCATGGACTGGTATTGGTTTGTGGCCTGTTAGGAACCGGGCTGCACAGCAGGAGGTGAGTGGTGGGTGAGCCTGTGAAGTTTCATCTCGATTTACAGCTGCTCCCCATCAGTCACTTTAGTGCCTGAGTTCCACCTCCTGTGAATCAGCAGCAGCATTAGATTCTCACAGGAGTGGGAACCCTATTGTGAATTGCACATGCAGGGATTTAGTTTGCTAGATCTTTAGGATAATATAATGCCTGATGATCTATCACTGTCTCCCGTCACCCCCAGATGGGACCATCTAGTTGCAGTAAAACAAGCTCAGGGCTCCCACCGATTCAACATTATAGTGAGTTGTGTAATTATTTCATTATATATTACAATGCAAATAATAGAGATAAGGTGTACAATAAATGTAATGTGCTTGAAGCCAGGTACGGTGGCTCACATCTGTAATCCCAGCATTTAGGGAGGCCGAGGTGGGTGGATCACTTGAGGTCAGGAGATGCAGACCAGCCTGGCCAACATGGTGAAACTCCAACTCTACTAAAAGTGCAAAAAATTAGCCAGGTGTAGTAGGTCCACACCTGTAATCTCAGCTACTCAGTAGTCTGAGGCACGAGAATCACTTGAACCCAGGAGGTGGAGGCTGTAGTGAGCCAAAATCATGCAACTGTACCCCAGACTGGGAGACAGCGAGACTCCATCTCAAAAATCTTGGCATTGATTCTAGCCAACTGGCCATTGGTTTAAGCCACTCAGTTTATAGTGCTTTGGTACAGCAGCCTGAGGAAACTAGTGCATCCGTATTTTTTGGATTGATGGTTACTTGCAACATCCCTTAGGGATAATTTTTCAGCAGTCAGTCTGCATCGGGATCTGAAAGGTCCTTCTTTTCCAATTTCTGGGAAAGCAGGTCCAAAATCCCTTTCACCTAACTCTTAGTTGACATGCCTGTTCAAGAATGGAGAAGGTAAGGGGCCTCTCCAATGTACGTGATTCTGGTTCCAATCTTCCAGTATCTTACTCTGCATAGACTATTCGTACAGGTTATATGTTGGTGGAATAGATAGACATCCTGATATCTGTATCTATGTCTATATCTGATGTACATACTCTACTCTAAATCTATTGAGCTTTTTATGAAACACAATACCATAAGCTTCCCCCCTTATGTTATCAAAAACTTGCTGAAAACACCGTTTTAATAAAATTGTCATGTCATACCCTCTCGTACATTTGGATTTACCATAATTTGGCCAGTGTTAACAGGTTGTTAGGCAATTGGTGGCCTTTCCCCTTTCTGCCACATCTCTTCAAATGAAGCTTTGTCCACATTTCAAAATATCTCCTTGAGATAGTGTACCAGAAAGGCTAAAAGCTGTAAACTGGGCCAAAGGTTATAAACATTTTAATATTCCTAATACTTACTACCAAATTGCTTCACAGAAATGCTGGTTGTTCTTTCCTTTAAAATTTAATCACAAAAGACTGATCTTGGTAGCAAGAGAAAGAAATAAGGTCATGGAGGGCATTGGAAGCATTTGTGTCCAACAGGCACAAGCAGGCAATAAATACCCCCTTATGAAAAGCTCAAAGCCATGCATAGTGTTTGCATAACATGTTGCTAACTAAAGACCTCTCTGGTTCACAACCTTTCTGAAACTCAGTGTTTAAATGCAATATAGTCTATTAAATTGTCAGCTCAAGTACTCAGCAGAAGGCATCTGTCTCTTCTTTGCTCTTGGGGATGTTTCTGCTGACCTTCACACTGGAGTTCAGAGATAATTTTTAATAAACTATTGTCACTTGAAAATAAACAGTCTGGACAATGTATGGTCCATTTGGAACACTGAAAAAATAAACAATCTAGGGTATGCTTCCTTCCTGTCTTTGTAGGCCTTTTTGGAATGTGTGTTCCAAATACTTCCCTTTCTTCCCAGAAGCAGGAGGTTTTATTTAAAATAAAGCTGTTTATTTGGCATTTCTGGAAGACCCTTTTCTGAGGAACCACAGCAATGAATGGCTTTGCATCTTTTCTTGGAAGAAAACAGTTTATCCTCCTGGTACTATTTCTTTTGCAAATTCAGAGTCTGGGTCTGGATATCAATAGCCGTCCTACCGCTGAAGTCTGTGCAACACACACAATTTCACCAGGACCCAAAGGTGAGGAAAGAAAACCACAATTTTCGTGTATAACAAATATGATCTCTTCCCTCAGCTCTGAACCCCTTCCTAGATTTCAATGACTTTCTCTTCTTTCCTCCCTAGTTTCCTCCCACTTTCCTTCTATTTTGGAAAACCGAGATTTTCTATATCTGGTCTGTTACTTCTTTAAAACTCTCCCTTGATGTTAGGTAAGAGGATGTTGGGAGGGGGAAACCCAGGACAGGGATCTGAGGGAACTTACCCAGGGCAGGGGGAAATTCCCTGTTACATTCTGTTCCAGGAGCAGATGCACAATCCAGCCATCAGCCTTCAGAAATCTTTTCCTCCCTTAGAAGCATCTCTATTCTTTGGCTATTTTTATTCTCCTCCTTTCTAATACTGTTGCTGGTAAAACTGTTTAGGCAAAAGGTCAGTAAAAGAAAACTTAAATCTTAAATATATGTTTCATAAGTTAATGGGATCCTGAGTTCCAACCTAGAGGATGGAAACATTTCGTCGAGTATTGAAGGTAGTATATATAAGAACATTTCTTTATTTGGAAGTATAGTCTTTGGGGCCAAATACCTTCTGCAGAAGAATGGTAGAATATTGCAAAATGTTCTCAAGTAGAGCCAAGGTCCAGATATGCTTGAAGCAACTAGTAGATACAAAATCTATTTTTTTTTCTGGTTATAGCTTTTACCCTTTGGTTCTGAAACTGGTCACTGTAGTGCAGATTGGTGCTCCGTTATTAGTAATTTGTGCTGTTTCTCTAGGCTATAGGGTGGAAGAATTGCAGCTGCTTAAAATTTTAAGTAGAAAAGGTTTTTCAAAAAAAAAAAAAAATTCAGAAATACGTTGCCCTATGCTTGTCACTTATTTAAATGTGTATTGCTTAAAGTGCGGTTTTCTTAATTACTGAATTAATTTTCCTCTAAGATTGCAATCCAAGTTTTAACCTTTGATACGATAAAATAAATGCTGTGGGGAACAATGAGACCTTAGAGCTTCCAAATAATTTCTTGAGTGAATAAATGAATAATGTGAGGGCAAATGTTCAGAAAACAAGTTTTGATTAGAAATAAAGTATTTACTTAAAACCATTACTGAACTTTTCTTAGAGTGTAGGAAACTTTAGATTATTCCTGGGGTGTCATGGAAGATGTTGAAAATTAAAGTTTTTCTTGTCCCTGCAAATGGGAGACTCCATTTGAGAATAGCACTATTTTTTTACCTAATAGAAAACTTCTCCCTTCCCACTTTCCCATTAGAAACCCTGTTAAGATTTCAAACAATGGAAATCTCATTAACCTTCCTCCTGAGCATGCGTAGACATTATGAGATAATTACAAGCCAGAGTGTGACAAAATGGAGTGAGTGCTCCTGCGGAGAGATACTTGGGAAGCAGAGTTCTAGAACTCTGGGTTCTAGAACTAAGTCTGTTATGTTCTTGGATATGATTTCTTCTTCTTCATCAGGAGCCTGGAAACTGTGTCAAATGGACTCTAAATTTTATTCTTAATAAAAGAAATCCATGATTCTGGAATGTACTGAGTACCTACTAAGTTTCAGATACCATGTTAGATGCTAGGGGTTGGAATCTAAGATAAGTAACCTCTCCTAGCTCTTGCATCTACATATCAAGCTTTGTATTAGATTACAAATTCTTGAGGTCAGCACCAGTTAATTTATCCTTTTTCTTTGCAAATTCCCTACATACCTAAATGCACCTAAAGCAATATAAGCATATTCATCACTGCTTTTCCTCTGCTGTAGGCACTATGCTAGATGATAGGGCTGCAGCAAAAGCCAAGACATGGTACCTTCTCTCAAGATAAGAGCAGTTGATCAGGTGTGTTGGCTCATGCCTGTAATCTCAGCACTTAGGGAGGCCAAGGCAGGTGGATCACTTGATCCCAGGTGTTTGAGACCAGTCTGGGTGAAATAAGGATACCCCATCTTTACAAAAAATTAAAATAATTTTTAAAAAATAGCTAGGTGTGGTGGTACACACCTGTACTTCCAGCTACTTGGGAGGCTGAGGCAGGAGAATTAATTGCTTGAGTACAGATGGTTCGACCTACATGGGCCATGATCATGCCACTTCAGCCTGGGCAACAGAGACCCAATCACACACACACAAAATTATATATTTTTTTTTTCTGAAAAAAAAAAAAAATATATATATATATATATATATGTGCTGTCATCTTCTCCACCTTGTTCCTTCATGAATACTATGACAATCCCTCCATACTCCTAAACAAGCTATATATATATATATATATATATATATATATATATATATTTAGCTTTACAAAATTAAAAAAATATATAGTATGATGGCTAAGTAAATGTTTTAAAGGACTGGATTATTACATTTTTCTATATTTTTCCCTAAGATCAAGCTAGACTTAATACTTTTCTCCTTGGCTAATCATCTCATTACTGTATTCACTAGCACTGCAGCAGCACAGTGCTCAGAAATTTCTAGATACTCTGGGAAACAGAACATGAAAGGAATTTTCCCTAAATTCATTTGGTAGAGTGAAAACTAAATACATTATTTAGAATTGCAGAATGCCATTTGTGAAAACCCAGGAATGCTAACCAATCATAGAATATATTGACCAATATACAGATATTATCTTTAAAGTCTTATTTCCCCAGGCATAGTTTAGTGGAAAGATAGACACTGGAGTTAATCTTGTTGTCTTCAGCATGCTGTTAACATCTGCTACACTTCAGTGTCTTCATTTGCAAAATAAGCATTCATCTCAGACCTGTTTTAAGAATTATTGGTTAATCACTGTGCACTTTAAGCTGTGTAGATATCATCAATAAAAATTTTAACAAATTCTATTTTATCTTTTCCTTCCCTCCCTAAGTCTGTTAAGTAACGCTTTTGAGAATAAGATCAAAACTTCTTTGTTGCAAGCCATTATTATTTTTCTTTTTATGCCTTAAACATATTGTTTGTTACCTAGTAGGAAAATGAAATGCTCTCTCTCTCTTTCTCCCTTCCACTCCCCTCTCCTCCCCTCCCCGCTTTCTCCCTCCTCCCATCCCCTTCCCTCCTCCCACATTTTGGTAGTTTCTTTAAACAATTTATGTGAAATTCTGACCTCTAGTGGTTTTCTTTGAAAACAACAGTGAGACAATATGTATAAAATAAAAGAAAAAGAAGAAATAGATGCAAAGGAAGCAAGAGAGAGAAAAATTTTAAACAAAAATTGTTAAAAAATTATTTTTAAACGATAAATGTGGATGATGCTTTACAATTTTCAAGGACCTTTAAAATCATTGTCTTGCTTAATTCCCGTAATTTCCTTCTGTGGTAGCAATTTGTTTAAACTTAAACCTAAGGAAACAATTTCAGTAGGGCCAAGGGGAGTGCCCAGGGTCTTTCAGCAGGTCAAATCTTGCAACTTGAACTTGACCCTGGACCTTCTGGCTCCAAGTTCAGTGTCATTTCATGATATCCACTAGTTTATACTAATTCTTTATCAGGATTGAAAATACAGTCCACCAGTCACATTTTGTTGATTAAAACAATGTACAAGGTCTAAGGTCTAAGAACATGGCATCATGCAACCTCACAACCCAGCACTGTCTTAGGTACTAAAATATGCTGAAAGTGATGGTGTGTCTCCACCTCGATAATCAACTACATGACTTCATTAATTTGTTTGTTAATAATGTTATTTTACCCTATTGCTTATTTTGATGTTTGCTAGATTTTTAGTAGGGCTTTTTCAATGAAATTTTTTTTGTGAGTCTTTTTCCTGCTGGCTTCTCTCAGCTTCTCCTACATCATTTCAAACTTGTCTCTCACTTCTGCTCTTTAGTGGGCATGCTGGTCTTGGCTCTCCGTCCTGACTTGAGACCTTGGCTCATGATGACTCCTCTGCCTGCCCTGCTCTTACCCAGATGTTCCCAAAGATAGTTTCTTCTCCTCATGGAGGTCTTAGCTCAAATGCCTTCTGTGCAGCAAGGCCCTGCCTACCACCTGTAATCTTTGTCATAGTCCTCAAAGTATTGTATTTTCACAGGCTCACTACTAAGGGAAAATCTCTTGTGCATTGATGCATGTATAGTCAGTCCCGGAGTACAAGCTTCCCAAATGGATGAGGATACCAGTCCTCCTTGCTGAGCATGGTTTTCTAAACCTAGAGAGCTCCCAACACAAAGTGGTTGCTCAATACATATTTTCGATTAAACGAATTTACCCAAATTTTCCATGAAAGACCCCCAAATTTTAATTTGAGGTCTTGAGCTATTAACACAACTCTCTCAAAATATCATATAAGTATGCCCTGAAGTTCCTAAAAACTATTGCACGTGCTCCCATAAAAGGGCTGCTCCTGGGGTCCATGACCATTGTGCCAATTCTCCAACAACCTAAGAACCTCCCTGGTAGGGGCCACTGCTTTTCCCCTATTTACCACAGTGTCTCTGCTTCCCAGGTGCCCCTGTCTCTGCCTAGCCACTAACACACTGCTGCCTCCTTCACTAAGGAAGCATTTCTGATGCTTCTAAGGACACTGATTTCCGTGGGTAACCATCATGACTCCTCCACATGTGTAGCCTGTGATGCAAACACAAGGCAGAGCAAAGCTCTTTCCCTTTCAGCATGTTGCATCCAACGGGGTGGCTGAAGCAAGATTGTTAGCACACATTGAGTAGCTACAATTCACCCAGCACTGTGTGAGTGCTTTACAACCATGTTTAAATTTAATTATTTCAATGGACTTTGAGCAAAAGGTCTTTATTATCTCAGTGGACTTTGAGAAAAATGACTTTATTATCTCAACGGACTTTTGAGAAAAAAGACTTTATCATTCCCATTGGACAGGTAAAGAAATTGAGGTAAAAATTATCAAGTCACTAGCTCACAATTAACACTTAGTTCAGGTCTAGTTGGGTCCTCTGTTCCAATCAACCTGATAAATCCACTAACAAGCCAGAGAGGCCCCTACACAGTGTTGATGGCACCTCAGTATTTTATGGGGCCAGAAGAAATGGCTACTTTAGTCTTTACTTAAAGCCCCATTGGTCCCTATGGAACTCCAGGGCACACACCTGAGTGTCAGACAATACAAGCTCTGCACGGTTGCTGCTCCTCTTTGATGAGAGAGGCTATGCCGTGAGTAAAGCCTTATGGCACTCACCCCATCCTCTAGAATAATTTCTTTCTCAGAAAACAGAAAAACAGACTTCTGTTCGGCCATCCGCTATTCTACTGGACATGGCTCTGAATCCCAGCAGTTGACACAACTTTACTTCCCAAGATACCTCTCAGCCCCCGACACAAATAGGACATTTTGTGACTTCCCCAGATGGATAAGCAGATATACCCAGGAAAGTTTGGATCTTTTTCATTCTCAAACTGGAAGTCTTACTACCTTGTAAGATTGCTCTCAGAGATACTTTGGTTTAACTCCAGTTCTTTTTACTTTTGTGAAAACTGAGACCCAGAGAGGTAAAATAACTTGTTCTAGGTCACACAGCTGCTAATTGGTAGCAGGGCTAGAACTAGAACTCAGATTCCAGATTTTTGGAGCAGCCATTGTTCCATTCTACCATATTACATCACTTTCCTCACCTTATATCATTCTCATTAAGCATAAAATGGTTAGTTGGTTTTACAAATTAACAGTAGAAAAGGAGATCCATGAGATCAATATATAAACATGACAGCCGGGCGCGGTTGCTCACGCCTGTAATCCCAGCACTTTGGGAGGCCGAGGCACGTGGATCACGAGTTCAACAGATCGAGACCATCCTGGTCAACATAGTGAAACCCCGTCTCTACTAAAAATACAAAAAATCAGCTGGGCATGGTGGTGCATGCCTGTAATCCCAGCTACTCAGGAGGCTGAGGCAGGAGAATTGCCTGAACCCAGGAGGTGGAGGTTGCAGTGAGCCGAGATCGCACCATTGTACTCCAGCCTGGGTAACAAGAGCGAAACTCCGTCTCAAAAATAAATAAATAAATAAATAATAAAAAAAATAAACATGACACAGAACTATTCTAGCTCAGTTACCTTAATACAAGTTAAGTTGCTGATTCTTTTCTGGTGATTATCAGAAAGGGTAAGCATTTTCCCAAAGCTTTTTATTAATTGAATCAGTTCACTAGATTCTTTCATTATGTGTTGTAATGTGTATTTTATGGATAAGAACAGACCAATATTTTTAATGAATTTTTTAAACTTTTATATTTCAGTATATCAATATTTAGAACAATTTTAAATCTCTTTTTTCCCTTAGGTAGATATCAAGAAGACATTTCAAGTTTAGGTCAGGAAGGGAAGAATAAAATTTTAGTCAATGAAAGTGTTGGTAAAGATGAGTCAGGAAGTAGTACTAAAT